TGCTAGAAAAAGAGTCAAAAATTTCACAAGAGGAGCGAAAATTGACGTTTTGGCAAAGTTCTCTAAAAAATCTAAAAAAAAAATTGTGAAGTAGATATGTACTACAACCTACTGATGGACCTAGGCCAAGATTTTCGAAATTTTCGGTTTGAAAATAAAATTTTTAAAATGTGGAAGAAACTGGCAAATTTCCTCTTAGCGATTCTGGAAGTGGTTGGAATTTTCAAAGAAATGTTGTTGAAAATAACTTTCACAAATTAACAAAAAAGTCTTTGGATAATTTTGGAAATTACTCAAAAAAGTCAAGGGGAAGTGAAAAATTGAGATTTTGGGAAGTTTCCTAAAAATTTAAAAACACAAACAGTTCTGTGATATAGATATCTACGAGATCATTCGAAAAACATAACCTACTATGAACCTAGACGTAAGATTTCCGAAATTTTCGTTGCGAAAATAAAATTTTTAAGGTATCCAAATAATTGCCAAATTTGATCTTAACAATTTTGGAAAAGTTGTTGGAATTTTCATAGCAATGTTGCCGAAAATGACCTCTGCAAATTGAAATCAACAAAAGTCTTTGGATAATTTTTGAAACTGATCGAAAAAAGGTAAAAATTCCTCATGAAAATTGACGTGAGTAGATTTGAATATCCCCTGGTAAGCGAGGATAAACACCATCCTTCTCTAAACATTATCATTCATGGTGACAATTCATCAAACATTCCGTTTATAAATACTGGTGACTTCTCAACATTTAATTTCCGAAAAGGCAACTTAGAGGAATTGTACTTATCCGTCATGGAAATAGACTGGTCATTAATTACGAACGAACATGACCTTGAATCGGCCTGTGAAAATTTTTACAAAAAATTATTTGACACTATTGGAAAGTATGTACCAAGATGCACACACAAGATGCAAAGCTCAAATTATCCAATATGGTTCACGGGTTCTATAATTAAAAAAATTAAATTAAAAAACAAACACTGGAACACCTACAGAAAAACTAAATCATCGTATCATTTGGACATGGTAAAGAAACTAAGATGCGAAATTAGGCGGGAAATTCGTACGGAATATAGTAATTTTATTAGAATATCAGAAGATTCGCTACAACATGATCCTACAAAGTTTTGGATGTTCGTAAATCAGAAGAGAAGAATGACGAGTATTTCGGGCCGTATGGTTTACAATGACAATGTTTTAACAAGACAACAAGAAATTGTTGATGCCCTAGCTAGTCATTTTTCAACCACGTTCGTCGGTGATAAATCCAATCATGTCTGTGATAACCAGTGTAGCAATAATCTTGTAAATTTCTGTGAACACTGTGGCAAGTATTGTTGTCCTTCCTTGAAAATTGATACACCCTGTAATGGTGCAACAGTTTTGAACATGTTCTACATTAGTCATGAAGAGATTTTAAAAGCGGCCAAAAGAATGAAACCGAACAACGTATCTGGAGCGGATAATCTTCCCGCCTTTCTAATTGTCGACTGCATAAATTACCTGTTGCCGCCATTATGTCACATATTTAATTTAATTCTACAATCATGTGCATGTCCGAGTGCATGGAAAATCTCTCGTGTAGTTCCCATATTCAAGTCAGGTGATAAAGAAAATGTAAAAAATTACAGACCTATTGTTCTTATTTCAAATATCGCAAAATTATTTGAATGTATACTGTCTGATATTCTTTATTCACATGTTGCACCTAACATTGCGCCTGAACAGCATGGCTTCGTCAAGGGGCGATCAACAGTGACTAATTTGTTTGAATATACTCAATTTGTATCAGAAGCGTTAGACAATCGTTTGCAAGTGGATGCCATATACACTGACTTGAGTGCGGCATTTGACAAGGTGCATCATTGTATTTTATTAAAAAAACTGAAAAGTTTTGGTTTATGTGATAGTTTAATATTTGTTTTTAGATCTTTGTTAACAGGCAGACATCAATTTGTGAGTTATGGTGGATTTAAATCGAATAGGTATTGTGTTAACAGTGGTGTGGGACAAGGGTCAAACCTAGGACCACTCTTGTTTAATATATTTTATAATGATGTTGTGAAATATTTAAACTGTAAGACACTTATTTATGCAGATGATTTAAAAATGGCAAAGGTTATAACGAATGTTGAAGATTGCATTGAATTACAAAATAGTTTAGATCGTTTACTTAACTGGTGTGATGATAACTTGCTAACTGTTAATAAAACTAAGTGCAAAAAAATAACGTTTGCCAGAATACATAATCCAGTTAATTTTTATTATAACATTAGAGGATACGTTCTAGAAAACTGTAAAGAAGTATTAGACTTAGGTGTCATTATAGATAGTACGCTCTCTTTTCATTCACATGTTATACATATCGCAAAACATGCTATGAAACTATTAGGTTTTATTTATAGAAATACGAAAGACTTCTCTAATACTCGATGCATTAAATTATTATTTTATACATTGGTTAGAGCAAAATTAGAATATTGCTGTACAGTATGGAAACCTTACCATGTAACATATATAGATCTATTAGAGAATGTACTGAGAAAGTTTGCGAAGTATGTATATTTTAAGATGTTTGGTAGATATCCTGTCAGACACTGTGATCAAAGTAGTTTACTTGACATTGTTAGTGAAAATTCTCTACTTAGTAGGAGGAATATGTCATGTTTGATATTTTTACAAAAAATTGTAACGGGACAAATTTATAGTCAAACTCTTCTCAATGAAATTAAATTTAATGTACCCAGATTAGGCAGCCGCATCCAGATAAGTTTTTCATATAACATTCCAAACACACTTCACCACTTCAATAGTCCTCTAATAGCTTGTATTCGTTTGTATAATTATATTATTAGCAGAGATCAAAATATTGACATTTTCTTTAATAATTTTTGTAACGTTGGGATTAGGAATAAGATACTGAAAATTGTAGTTGCTGTGTTGTAATGTTGTTGTATCCACTAGAGACATAATTGTCTGCTGGAAATAAATTTACTTATTACTTATTATTACTTATTACTCAAGGGTGAAAAATTGAAGTTTTCTTAAAATTTCCTTAAAAATAAAAAAAAATCTAATTTACGAGCTGACTCAAAAAAATGCTGCCTGTTATGGACATAGACTTTCGGTTTGAAAATCAAATTTTGAAAATATCCAAAAAAGTGTCAAACTTGATGTTGACGATTCTGGAATTTTCACAGAAATTTTCCCGAAAATTACTTCTACAAATCAAAATCAACGAAAGAGTCATTGGGTAATTTTCGAAACTGCACGGTAAAAGGTCAAAAATTTCATAAGAGGAGTGAAAAATTGAGGTTTTGGCAAAGTTCCTTAAAAAAACGATGAAACCACAAACAGTTTTGTGGAATAGATATCTACGAGCTGATTTGAAAAACATAACCTGCTATTGATCTTAAACTACCAAGATTTTCGAAATTTTCGGCTTGAAAATCAAATTTTTAATTTCTCCAAAGAATTGCCAAATTAGATCTTAGTGGTTTTGGAAAAGTGGTTGGAAGTTTTAAAGAAATGTCGCCGAAGATGACTTGTACAAACCAAAATTAACAAAAAGTTTTTGGATAATTTTAGAAACTGCTCAAAAATATCAAAAATTTCATAAGGGACATGCAAAATTGAGTTTTTTTGCCAATTCTGGAAAAGTGATTGGAATGTTCATAGAAATGTTGTCGAAAATGATTTCTACAAATCGAAATTAGCAAAGAAGTCTTTGGGCTATTGTCGAAAGTTCTCGAAAAAGGGTTGAAAATTTCATAAGGGAGTGAAAAATTGAGGTTTAGACAAAATTCTCTATACAAACTTAAAACACCATAAAAAAAATTCTGTGATAAGATATCAACTAGCTGATTCGAAAAACATGGGTTGCTTGTAGACCTAGACTAAGATTTTCGAAATTTTCGGTTTGAAAATCAAAGTTTTACAATATCCGAGGGACTGCCAGATATAGTTTTGGCGATCCTGGAAAAGTGGTTGGAGTTTTCAAAGAAATCTTCTATAAATCGAAATCAGCAAATAATGTCTCAATGTATGTAATTTTCAAAAATGCTGGAACAAACATCAACCTATAAAGTTGAATAAATAAAACACAGGAACCTGAGCGTGTCCTTAGTTTTCCTAGTGTATTTAATTTTATCTCACTTTTGTCCTATAGCATACGGCGTTTTTCCAAAAGGCGGGTAATAATTATGGAACTATTTTGCTGATTAGCGGTACTTTACTTCTAACTAAAGACTCCATACTTACAGATGTCTATGGTTCTTTTGTATTTACATATTTTTGTGTACTTTTATTTTTTGCTTATTCCACTAATTAACAATATTATTAATGAAATATAATGAAAATTATTAATTACAAAATTAATTTAGTTTTAGTAACTAAAAAACGACAAGAGCTTAAATTAAGATTACTTGGAACTGATGTTGGTTTTGCTAATCAAAATTTGTCCAGTAGGGGGAATATCAAAACCATGTATTTAAACTGTCTGATTTTTTATTTGTTCTATCCTTGTTTCCATTTTTCTCGATATCTTCTGCTTTATTTCATTACTATTTGTTTACTTAATCAATCATGTTTCTAATTACTGTCTGTGAAATAATAACCTGAAATACTACGTTATTGAACGATTTGCAGTATTTACCACATGATCCAAAAAAAGTTCTCTAGAAAGCTTTGAAATTTCATGTTAAAAAAATAACGGTCAAATAACTGTCAAACAGCTGTAATGCCAACATCATTATTTTAAAACTAAATTCCATGGCTTACTAGACTAGTTTTTTATAAACCTATGCAACTCTCATCAAAAGCTTAAATTCACTGAATATTTTTTATTATATCAAAAATTAATCAGGTGCAGCAGAAATAAGTCCTTTAATGACAATTTCACTATTAAAATCTTTTCATTTTTTTTTATCTTGTCTTGTATTTCATGTCGGAAGTGTAGATGAACCGGCGCATGAATAAAAAATGAGACACAAACGTAAAATGCAAGTAACATAAGTTTTATTTTCAGTTGTATGATAAAATACATTCGTTTGGGCTATTGTTTGCTTGTGTTGAGGTATGAAGAGTTCATGTACTTGGTCTATTGTAAGTTTGTATAGTAAATGAACACAGCATGAATTGACGTGTACATAATAACACAACACGTTAACCTGAAGATGTTATCTTGTACACGCCACTGAACAACGTATTTGTTTAGAAGGTAAAGCATTACCTAGTCGTTTCGTATCTAGATATTAAAAATTAAGATCTGTATTAAACAATTGCAAGTTAAATATTAAAAAATAAAAAACAATAATATAAACTTCCGATTATCTACAAAATCTCTAACATAAATTTAGATGTATTAAACGCTATCTAAACGAACCGAAACACATTAATTTACACAAAGGTACTATAACTTTTGCACATGCAAAATTGGAGCAAATTTGTGTAGGCAACACTGAGATACTTTTTAAATTTTATTATCGATACTAGGATTAATTACAAATATATAGATAATATACATTTGTGTTCATGTTTCGTTTGCATTTTCAAGTCATGCTTCTTGCTACATATTAAATAACAAATAAAAACAATGTGCACAATGCTCTTAAGTGCTATTTACAATATGGTCATAACGGAATCGTTCACAAATTATAAAAAATTAAGTATTATGTCGACTTAACAACACTTCAATTTAACAAGGTAGCTGGAAATTATAGGGAATAATTATTTACATGTATCTTAAATTATAAGATGAAGCATGGTTTTTCTTAATTGTCATGGAGATCACTGAATCTAATATTAAAATCTAATATTTCACATCAGATCACTATCTTGCTGTGACAGTTCGCAGTTTTTATTACACGTAATTATCACAATTTTTCTTCAATTTAAACTACGGTCAGTGTCTTTCACTGAAATATAAACTATCCCGCCGGTACTTAGTTCAGTAGATAACTTCGTACACTGTCGCCTTCTTGTCGCCCGACCCCGTCACTATATACTTGTCGTCGGTGGAAATGTCACAACTCAACACACTTGAGGATTCCTTCGACTGAAAACAACAAAAACAATTTAATTTCTAGACATTCTAAAAAGTCCAGACACTCACCTGGAATATACTAGCCCCATACGGCGTTCTCCACGCATTCAGCAGATTATCCTTCCCCGTGGAAACGAACCACTTTCCGCAAGCGGCGAATCTCAAACTCAACACACAACTCTCGTGCAAATGCAACTGGTATTTGTCCGGTTTGGTGGCGTGCAGCACTTCCACATTCGAGTTCTCCATGCCGACGGCCAGCCACTCGCCCGTGGGGCAGTACCCCAGCGAGAAAATCTGCGAGCTGAAGTCGTGCTGCTGGAGCTGGCGGCCCTCCCGCAGGTCCCAGCTCCGGACGGTGTTGTCCAGACCGCCAGTCCAGAGCTTGGTGCCGTCGGCGGAGATGTCTATGCACGACGCGCCGTCGGTGTGGCCCTGGAACTGCCGCACTAGGGTCTGGTTGTGCAGGTCCCAGACGGCGATGTTGCCGTCCGAGCAGCAGCTGAAGCACACTTTGGAGTCGGGGCTGATGGCCAGGGCGTAGCAGGCGGGCGCGCTGGAGGTGAGCTCGGCCTTGATGCGCGGCGTCGGGCTGGCCAGGTCCCAGATGGAGAGGTTGCTGGCCTCGCCGCCCACGATGAGGGTCCGGCCGTCGGGGAGGAGCTTCACGGAACGGATGTAGTTGTCACGTTGCTGAGGAAGAAGATATTATTTGTTTTTGTATCTTACTTCAGGAGTGTAAGCTAAGAAATATTGTAATCGAGCCCATCGGGAGATTGCTACTTTCATGTTTTATCGACATTTTATGACTGCAGAGTACGAAAAAATAAGTCTCCCGTTTCAAGATAATAATCTGCGACATGATAAAACACTAACCAAAGTTTGTCTGTTCATCCCAACCAACACTGGAATGACGTCATTTCCAAATTTTATAATAGTAAATGTTATTTAAATGTTATACTTTATAATATATATAAAATTTTTGGTAGTTTTTTAACCTAAATTCTAAAACGCCGTTTCAAACTATGAAAAATTAATAAAATCTGATAGAACTTTTTCTAACATTTCCCGTTTTTTTTTTTTTTGTTTTTTTGAGCCAACTGTACATTGAGATTTTTGGGGAAAAGAATCAAAATTGTAGCTGAAGATTTTTCGATTTCTCAATTTTTCGACATTTCAGTGATTTTCAATGTTTAGATTAGATAATTTTCGATTTTTCGATATTTCAGTTCGGAGATTTTTCAGTATTTTATTGAATTTTATCGATTTTTCAGATTTTCGATTTCTCAATTTCTCAGTTAATTGTTTTTTTTTCATTTCCCAATTTCTCGATTTCTTGACTTCTCAATGTTTCGATTTCTTAATACATATCTCAATTTTTCGATATTTCAGTGTTGGGATTTTTCAATATTTTGATTCTGCCAATTTTTCGACTTTTCGATTTCACGATTTTTACTTTTTCAATTTTTTAACTTCTAGATTTTTTTGATCTCACAATTTCTCAATTTATCGAGATTTCGATGTTCCGATTTTTTTATTGTTCAAATTGAACAAAATCGAGAAATTCTTGGTTTTTTGACTTATCGATTTTGGTTTATTTCGATTTCTCAAGTTTTCGATATTTCAAGTTTTTGATTTTTCGATATTTCGATTTCTCGCAATTTCACTTCTCGGTTTTACATTTTTTTGTTTTCCAACTTTCTATGTTTCTATTTTTTAGTTTTCAATTTCTCGATTTTCCAATTTTTTAATTTTTCGTTTTATAGATGGTTTGATGTTTCGATTTCTCGATGTTTCAGTTCAGTTCTTGAATTTTTCGATTCTTCAATATTTCGATTTCTTAATTTTTGGCCATTTTTTCAATTTTTGCGAATTTTTAAATTTAAGGTTTTTGAATTTCTCGCTTCTTCTATTTTTTAATTTTTTGACTTCTAATTTTTAGATTTATGAATTTTAAAATTTTTCGATTGATCGATTTTTTGTAAAATCTTTCGTCATTTCAGTATGAGAATTTAAAATCCTCGAATTCAATTTTCCGATTTTTGGATTTTTGGATTTTTAATCTTAGATTTTTGAATTTTTCTATTTCTCAGTTTTTCCATTATCAATTTTTCGATTTCAAATTTTTTTGAATTCTCAATTTTTCCATTTATTGAGAATTCGATGTTTCTGTTTTTAGGTTGTTCAGTTTTTCGATTTCTCAAATTTTCAATTTATCGGTTTTTTTAATTTCTCTAATTTTAGATTCCTGGAGTTTTTAATAATTCAAATTTTCGATTTCTCAGTTTGCCGATTTTTCGACTTTTTGCTTTTTCAATATGTCGATTTCCAAATTTTTCGTTATTTCAGTCTTGGAATTTTGCAATTTCTCGATTTTGCACTTTTCAATTATTCATTTTTCAGATTGTTCAATTTTTGCAAATTTTAAATTTACGGTTTTTGGATTTCTTTATTCTTTTATTTTGTAATTTTTTGACTTATAATATTTAGATTTTTGAATGTTTTAATCTTTCCGTTTTTTAATGTTTCGGTTTCTCGATTTTTCAACATTTCAGTTTTGGAAAAATTTTCCATTTCTAAATTTTTCAATTTTTCCATTTCTTAATGTTTCGATTTCTCGATCTTTCGATTTTTCGACTTTTCGGATTTCGATTTTTCGGTTTTTGAATTTTTCTGTTTCTCAGTTTTTCGATTATTCAATTTTTCAATGTTCAAAATTTTTTGAATTCTTAATGTATCCATTTATGGAGAATTCCATGTTTCTGTTTTTAGACTGTTCAATTTCTCAATTTTCCAATTTACCGATTTTTTAAATTTTAAGTGTTGCCATTTATCAATTTTTAACTTTTCGGTTTTTCCATTTTGGTCTATTTTGATTTCTCAGTTTTTCGATTTTTCAATTTTTGCAATTTTTGAAATTTTAGATTTTAAATTTCTCGATTTCTCAATTTCTTCCACTTTTCGATTTTTCGACTTTTCAGTTTTTACATTTTCCAATTTTTCGATGTTTCGACTGTTCAAAATATCGATTTTCCAATTTTTCGTAATTTCAATTTATGGATTTTTCAATTTTTCCAATTTTTGATGTTATGATTGTTCGATCTTTCGTGTTTTCGGATTTAGATTTTTTTTTCTATTTTTCGATTTTTAAAATTTTTTGATTTCTCAATTTCTCGATTTATCAATTTTCGCAATTTTTTAATTTTCGATTTTCAATTTCTCGATTTCTAGACTTTTTTTCCACTTTTTGTCAATTTCTAAATTTTTTGATGTTTTGACTGTTCAAAATTTCGATTTCCCAATTTTTCGTAATTTCAATTTTGAAAAATTTTCAATGTATGGATTTTTCAATTTTTCCAATTTTTGATGTTATGATTGTTCGATCTTTCGTGTTTTCGGATTTAGATTTTTGTTTTTTTTTTCTATTTTTCGATTTTTAAAATTTTTTGATTTCTCAATTTCTCGATTTATCAATTTTCGCAATTTTTTTTAATTTTGGATTTTCAATTTCTCGATTTCTATACTTTTTTTCCACTTTTTGTCAATTTCTAAATTTTTTGATGTTTCGATTGTACGTTCTTTTGATTTTTCGATTTTTCAATTTTTCGATGTTTTGACTGTTCAAAATTTCGATTTCCCAATTTTTCGTAATTTCAATTTTGAAAAATTTTCAATGTATGTATTTTTCAATTTTTCCAATTTTTGATGTTATGATTGTTCGATCTTTCGTGTTTTCGGATTTAGATTTGTTTTTTTTTTCTATTTTTCGATATTTAAAATTTTTTGATTTCTCAATTTCTCGATTTATCAATTTTCGCAATTTTTTTAATTTTGGATTTTCAATTTCTCGATTTCTAGACTTTTTTCCACTTTTTGCCAATTTCTAAATTTTTTGATGTTTCGATTGTACGTTCTTTTGATTTTTCGATTTTCCAATTTTTCGATGTTTCGACTGTTCAATATTTCGATATCCCAATTTTTCGTCATTTCAGCTTCGGAATATTTCAATTTTGGCGATTTTTAAAATTTTCGATTTCTCGATTCTTCTATTTTTAAATTGTTCGACTTTTAATTTTTATATTTTTAAATTTTTCAAATAGTACTCGATTTTTCAGTTTTTCGAGTATTCAATTTTCCGATTTTTCGATTTTTAAATCTTAGATTTTGAAGTTTTTCAATTTTTCAATTTTTTCATGTTTTGTTTTGAATTTTCGGATTTCGATTTTTTGTTTTTTTTTCAATTCCTGGATTTTTAAAATTTTTTGATTTCTCTATTTTTCGATTTTTCAATTTTTAACTTTTCGGTTTTTCCATTTTGGCCTATTTCCACTCTTGAATAAAAATACGAAAATCGAAAAGCCGAAAATTGGAAAACCTGATATATGGAAAAACTGATAAACCCAAACATTGAAAAATTCAAAAACTGAAACATCCAGAAATTGATTAGTTAAAAATTGAAAAATTTAAAATTAAAAAAAAAAAAAAACGTTAAATCAAGAAATTGAACAATAAACAAATCTAAACATTGAAATTTCATAAACCGGGAAATTAAGGAATCAAAACATTTTAAAAACGAAGAAATTGACAAATCGACGTATCAAAAATTAAAAAAAAATGCAAAAATTGAAATATCGGTAAATCAAAAAATTAAAAAACCAAGAAATTGAAAAATTCTAAAACTGAAATGACGAAAAACGGGGAAATCGAAATATTGAAAAATCGAAAAATCGAGAAGAGAGAATATTCAATTTTTTATATATCGATTTTTTTTATTTTTGATTTTCCGATTTTTCAATTTTTCGATTATTTCAGATGACAAAATGTATGCAGTTACGAGCTCTGAGTATATTAGCCTTAGACCCACACATCGTAAAGGTTAGGTTTTGACGGATGCTCAGGAAAAGGTTCAAACTCAAGGTAAGAATAAGTTTTCTACTGAAATTCCTGGAACTGAACTCAAAGTAGCGAGACCTGAGTATTTTGGGTCCTCCAGAAATACTCAGGTGTGTCTAAATTGTCTCAGTTTTCGAAAAAGAGACGACCCGGATGAGTGTCCCTGTTTTGACAGTTACAATTTTACCGTAAGTAACGGGTTCTGGATCTTTTGGACCTCTCAGACACATTTGGGTTTCTCTAAACCGTCTCAGAGTCTGAAAGGTACAACAACTACTACATTTTATTGGCCTCCAGGGTTTCAGTTTTAATTTTTTAGTACAGGTACTCGAATTTTGTCGACCCACTAATGATTTCTTAAAAAAAAGGTTTCTGGAGCGCCACCTCTGTCGCATAAACCCTAGTTAACAAAGAAAAACTCGCCCAATACCCGAGCCTTGTTCAAATCCCGTCCGAAATCTAGGTCGTATGTGTTATGCATGTAGTTGTTTTACTAACCAAACAATCTAATTGGGATACAGGACTCTTGGACCCTGGCTGGCTGATGTCCCAAACTTTGACGCATCCCTTGCCACCCGTATAAACATATTTCGTGGGGTTTGATATTGTCACTGCACAAACCACTTCGCCATGACTTAGGGTGTTTATTTGCCTGGCGTGCCTGGGAATTCCCGGCCCTATGAGAGCGTCCGGCGGGAACGGGACCGGCTGCATCTGTCCGTCGGCACTAACGTGGAATGAGTAAGCGCTGAAACCTCCCAATTAGCTCCAACTCAAAAACTGCCACTGACTACTTACGGTTTACCACCTGGTATCCCCCCGAGCCCCGGTACCACGGGCGCCCTCATTTGCGAATGCGGATCGTAGCCCACTTGCAGAGGCGGCCTGGGGTAATTATTCAACGCAGGTGGGAGGTTGTTGTGCAGGCCACCATAGGCGCCGGCCGCCGCAGCTGCTTGCAGATCGTGAGGGGCCCCTAAGACAAGCCACTTAATTAAACTGATTCCGGACCGGGCTAATACCTACCATTGGACATCCCGGCCAGATACGGGGGATACTGTCCGAGAGCTGGGGGCTTGACCACGGGCTTGAGGCCGCTGGTTCCGGACGACGAGCCGGCGGCCGAGGTCGGGGTCACCGATTTGGAGATGGGGGTCGAGGGCTTGTCACCGTCGAGCTTCTTCGTCGAGGGGGTGGAGGCGTTGCTGGAGGTGCCGGAGCGGGGGCTGTGCGGGCCCGGGTGCTCCTTCTTGGGGACGAGTTTGTCGATACCGTTCTCACGGGGGGAAGTGGTACCGTTGGGGGGCGACACGGGGTCCTCAGAGGCGTCATCTACCACCAAGTCCTGGTCGCTTTTCTCGCCGTCGCTGTGCTGCAACCAAAATAGTGAGGTGTATAGACAATGTCAACAACTGAGAAAAAACGTCAGTCCTCCTCCTAAAGCTATATTTAGTTTTTTATAAGACAGAATAGCGCTTAAGGTTATTTTTGCATAAATTGGATCTTGTAAGATGGGAGTAGTGTGACGTTATTCTACTACTGACGTGTACGACGGCGAGGAAGACGCGTATTAATCGATGGATAATAGCTGAGCAAAGCATAAACCGATCGAAACACCACATTATCTCCGAGTTCTTGCTCCAACGGAATATTTAGTGACACATCATCTACATTTGTAACAATCTATAATTTAAATGTTGACGTTTCCTTTAGATTAAGTACGTCTAGTCTACCGTCAGGGTAATTATTTAATCAATTGATTGTAATTCTATGTTTCAACTTCTAGCTAATCAATGATTTGAATTGTGCTACTGTGAATACTATTTTGTGAATTCGAGACGCAAAGTCCACCGAAACGGGATGACCACACAATTCATCTAGTTTAATTAATTAAAAGTTGGCTAATTATCGACACAATTTGATGACGCCATTTCCAAATATTTTAATCGTAAATTTGTTTTCACCCTGTACATTAAGATTTTTGGAAAAAAATCAAATTGTATTTTGCAATTTTGCAAAATCGCAAAATCAAATCTGGTAATGTTTCAAAAAATCCGTCCATGTTTTTTCTTCGATTTTACAATTTTTCATAGCACCATTTTTCGTTTTCTTTAATTCTTCAATTTTTTCATTTTTCAATGTTTCAATTTCCCGGGATTACTATATCCGATTCTCAATTTTTACCCGGTTTTCGATTTTTCGGCCAATCAGGTTTTTAGTTTTAGAATTTTTCATCTTCTAGGTTTTTCAGATTTTTGAGTATTAAATTTTCCGATTGTCCTTTCTAATATTTTTTGAGTTATTGATTTTTAATTTTCACTTTCCCGATTTTTTAATTTTCATTTTTTCGACTTTATATCACAATTTTTCGTTTTTTCATTTCCTTTAATTCTTTAATGTTTCTTTCGATTTTATGTTCTTTTCATTTACTTAAGTCTGCAAATTTTCAGTCTTGGATTTTTCAATTCCTCCATTTTTCAATTTTTAATTTTCAATCCTTTCTCTTTAATTTTCAATATTGACAATTTTTCGTTTTTCGATTTTAAAGATTTTCAATTTTTAATCTTTGGATTTTTCAATACTGCAATTTCCCAATGTTTCGCCATTTCAGTTTTAGAATTTTTCAATTTCTCGATTTTTCAGATTTTTGATTATTCAATTTTCCGATTTTCCTTCATTTTTTTGAGTTATTGATTTTTATTTTTCATTTTCCCGATTTTTTAATTTTCATTTTCTCGATTTAATATCACAAATTTTCGCTTTTTTATTTCCTTAATTTTTTTAATGTTTCTTTCGAATTTATATTTTTTCGTTTATTCATTCAAGTCTTCAAATTTTCAGTTTTTGATTTTGGAATTCCTCGATTTTTCAATTTTAAATTTTCAATTATCCGATTTTCCTTTCTCTTTAATTTTCAATATTGACAATTTGTGGTTTTTTTGATTTTAAAGATTTTCAATTTTCAATCTTTGGATTTTTCAATACTGCGATTTCCCAATGTTTCGCTATTTCAGTTTTAGAATTTTTCAATTTCTCGATTTTTCAGATTTTTGATTATTCAATTTTCCGATTTTCCTTTCTTCATTTTTTTCAGTTTCTGATTTTTATTTTTCATTTTCCCGATTTTTTAATTTTCATTTTCTCGATTTTATATCACAAATTTTCGCTTTTTTATTTTCTTATTTTTTTTTATGTTTCTTTCGATTTTATATTTTTTCGTTTATTCATTCAAGTCTTCAAATTTTCAATCTTTAATTTTTCAGTTCCTCGACTTTTAAATTTTTAATTTTCAATTACCCGATTTTCCTTTTTCTTTAATTTTTAAAATTGACAATTTTTCGTTTTTTCGATTTTGAAGTTTTTCAGCTTTTAATTTTTTCAATTTTTAATCTTTCGATTTTATCAATTTTTCAAGTTTTTGATTTCCGGTTTTTAGATTTTTTAATTTTATACATTTTCGTTTTTTAATTTTTGACGTTTCAATTTTACAATTTTGCAATTTTTCCATTTTTTTTTTTATTCGAAAAGTTGAAAAATCGAAATTTTAAGAGAGTTTTAAAATCGAAAACTAAAAAATCTGAAAAAACAAAAAATAGTAAGAAAAAGTGGAAAATCGAAAAACTGCAAATGGAAGAACTGAAGAATTGAAACAGTGAAAAATTTTAAATTGAAAAACTTAAAAATTCAAAAGTTTTACAAATTTACATCGAAAAAAGAAAAATTACAAAATCTGAACAGTGAAAAACCAAAAAATTGAAAAAATTGAATTAAGAAAATAGAAAATCGAAAGGAAAAATCGCAAATCGAAATATTGAAAACTCCTCAAATTGCAAATCGAAAAATTATAACATTCAAAAGTTGGAAAATCGGAAAACTGAAAAATTTAAAAATGAAAACTCGAAGAGATACATATCGTAAAATTGAAGAAACAAAAAATTATAAAACCGAAACATTGGAAAATCTGAAAAGACACAAAAATTGCAGACCGAAAAATTGAAAACTTTAAAATTGAAAATTCAAGAAATTTGAAAGCGCAAAATCTAAAAATTGAAGAGACAAAAGGAAAAGAAGAATTATAAATTGAAAAACTGAAAAAACGAAAAGTTAAAAAACCAATTGAAAAACACAAAATTAGAAAATCGGAACATTGAAAAATCGAAAAATTCTAAAAACTCAAGAAATGAAAAGCCGAAAAATCTAAAAATTGAAACATCCAAAAATTGGAAAATCGGAAAACTGAAAAATTTAAATATGAAAACTCCAGGACGTGCATATCGTAAATTTGAGAAAATAAAAAAAATGAAAAATAGAAAAAATGCAGATAAAAAAATTGAAGAAACCAAAAATTGAAAAAAACAAAAAAGTTTAAAATCGGAACATTGAAAAATCGAAAAATTGTAAAAATAAAGACAAAAATCGAAAGCAAAATTTCGATTTGAAAATTTGAAGAAATGAAAAGTGAAAAAATCGGGAAATAGAAAAATAAAAAAACGAAAAATTGAAGAAACGAAAAATTTAAAAAAACTGCAATTGAAAAAACACAAAATTATAAAAGTATAAAATCGGAACATTCAGAAATCGAAACATTTTAAAAATAAAGAAAATAAAAAAATGAAATGAAAAAGGGCAAATCGTAAAAATTGTAGAAATGAGAAGCCAAAAAGTTTAAAAAGTGAAAAAATAACTGAAAACTCATGAAATTGCAAATTGAAAAATTGCAAAATAGAAAAATTGAAACATCCAAACGTTGGAAAATCGGAAAACTGGACAGTTAAAAATGAAAAATAGAAACATTTCAGACAGAAAAATTGAAGAAACGCAAATTTGAAAAATCGAAAAATTGTAAAAATAAAGGCAATAAAAAACCCAAAAACGAAAATTCAATCGAAAATTTGAAGAAATGAAAAATTTAAGAATCGAAAAATCGAGAAATTAAAAATGAATACTTAAGAAATTTTAAATCAAAAATCGCAAAATCTAAAAATTGAAGAGATAAAAAAATGGAAAATTGTAAATCGTAAAATTGAAGAAATCGAAAATTAAAGAATCGAAAAATAGAAAAATATCAAAGGCTCGGAAATTTTAAGTCGCAAAATGAAGAAACACAAAAAATGATGAATTGAAAAATTTGAAAAACGAAAAGTTAAAGAAATCAATAATTGAAAAAAACACAAAATTATAAAATCGTAAATTTGAGGAAACAAAAAAAAAATGGAAAATAGAAAAAATGCAGATCGAAAAATTGTAAAAATAAAGACAATAAAAAACCGAAAGCAAAATTTCGAATCGAAAATTTGAAGAAATGAAAAGTTAAAGAATAGGGAAATTGAAAAATTAAAAATTGAAAACTTCAAAAATTTTAAATAAAAAAACGGCAAAATCTAAAAATTCAATTGACAAAAAAATGAAAAATTCAAAGCAAAAATTCAATTGAAAATTTGAAGAAATCGAAAAATCGAAAAATTGAATACTCTAGAAATTTAAACCGAAAAATCCCAAAATCTAAAAATTGAAGAGGCAAAGAAATGAAAAATTGTAAATCGAAAAATTGAAGAAAAGATAAATTGAAGAAACGAAAAATAAAAAAATTGAAATTGAAAAAATACAAAAATATAAAATCGGAACACTGAAAAATCGTAAAATTGTAAACATAATGGCAACGGAAAACACTAAACCAAAACTTGCAAATCGAAAATTTGAAGAAATCGAAAATTAAAGAATCGAAAAACACAAAAATAAAAATTTAAAAATTCAAAAGTCAAAAATTTAAAAATTGAACAAAAAAAACACGAAAAATTGAAGAATTCAAGTCAAAAAAGCTGCGGGAGTGCTATTTGCGCCACTGGTTTTTACTTTATGGAGGTTATCAAAAAACAAAAATCGCAAAAAAAGTTTTACAACTCTTCAAAGACGCGAGATTTATTAACCTTCGCCCAATTTTTTGTTTCGAAACCCAGACAGACCCAGTCCGTGTTGTTCCACCGTCCACTTCAGCGCTCGTTTTCTAAATTAGTCTCGAACCGTCGGCCGCCGACCAGATCGGTTTTAAGCATGTTTATCGCTGCGAAAGGATGTTGAGCACGGATTGGTATTCGCTAAAGCTTGTTAGACGACTTCCAAGAATTCCGCACTTTTGTCCGATACAGCAGGATTAAAAAGTTAAATGGTACTAGTTGAATTTATAACGGTGGCATGATATCAAGATATCAAACAGACACCGTAATGGCCCATTATATGGTAAATAGATCGTACTTGTCGCAAAATGTTAAGTAGCCTACGCGCTGTGCAGACGTCTGAAGGTGCAGTCTAGTGGACGGTTTTATCGCGAGATCGTAAATCACCGAGACTTGTCCTGTGTCCTACATGAATTAG